AGTGCCTGGCCCACAGCAGGCATCCTGTCAGTGTCGGCTCTTCATTGTTATCCTCAATCAGCCTCCTTGATGTTCTGGTGAGATGATGTGTGTGAATTTGCTGAAGGACCTTCCATTCCTCTGTTTTCTGCTCTTGTTTTAAAATTTAGGGTGTGTGTGTCCTCTTCCCAGTCTTAAAAGATTGTTCTGGGTTTTTCTTTTTAACTCCTGTAGAAACTCCAATTTCAGTGAAGGGCATCTCACGGCTCTCAGGTCACATGTGACAAATGGCCTTTATTACCTGCTGATTACAGTTAACCTTCATTCCTTTCATGACAGCTGCGTGGTGCCTTCTGCTTAAATAGAGCTGTTCTTGGATGTGACTTTTCGAGCCTCTCTGGGTTTCCTTCTAATTTAACTTTTTACCATTCCAAGTGGGACTGTTGTGTAACTGAAGGCGTGATTCACTCATTTGTTCTATCTCCATTTAATTATTACGACGCAGTGCCTGTGAGGCCCCCTCGGGCGTTCATTCACTTCTCTAAATGGTCTAGCCTTCTGGGGAAGGGAGTGGGCCTTTAGTTATTATTTATGAACTGTGTGGATGTATTTAGTGCAATGTCTGGGAACACACGAGCAACTGTGTTCAGTTGCTGAATGGTCCCGACCATTTTCATCATACCCAGCTTATTACTAAGGATTATTGGAAGAATCCTTTGCTGGCATAGGCAGTAGTTTCTTGCACATTTCCATTCTTCAGAACGAGGCCAACTTTTGAAGCCCACAAGTCAGTGTGCGTGCATTTGGGGATACCTAAAAGCTGTGGAAACAGAGGCCACATGGCTCAGAAAGCATAGAAAGAGAAGAATATTTTAATTTCACTGAAAATTTTAATTGTAAGCCGTGCTTTAGAATGCCATTCTCTTCACGTTAGAGCAAAGAACCAAGACACTCGGGAACATATGATTTTAATGGTTACCCAGAATCCCTGGTATTCAGTCATCACTTTGTATATTACAGCACTTAAAATATGAAACAAACAAAACAGATATGCAACAAGCAGCAAAGTTTTACTGTATAGCACAGGGAACTGTAGTCAATATTTTGTAATAACCTATAATGGAAAATAATCTGAAAAACAATATATGTATATATGTATAACTGAATCACCATGCCATGCACCTGAAACATTTAAATCAACTATACCGCAATAAAATATATGTATTATGAAAAAAATTAAATCTGAAACAGGGAAATGAAGGTAAGAGTAAGGAATTAAGCATTATCAGAAGACTTGATGTCAAAGGATCCTGGTAAGGATTAATTAACCCATTAAAGGTTAATTAATTAGCTGATTATATTGAATTAAAAATTAAGAATACCTGACTTAATACATTAATCCATTCATCCATCCAACTATTCAGTCATTCTACTTAGCAAACATTTCTTGAATGCCCACATTTTTCTTGGCTCCAGAGACACAAAAGTACTTGGTACCAGCATCTTAACTATCAGATTTTCTGCTGTGGACTTGGCGTGGCCAAACACCCAGTCCACAGTTATCTTCCAACTACCATGTCCCCCAACTCCAGGATCGTGCTGTGGGCCCAGTACGGTAGCAGTCCTCCGTGGACTTGGGTTTTCCTCGCCTCTTCCTGTGTTCTTTAAGCTTGTCTGCATTTCTGATTCTTTTTTTTTTACTTCAGCCCCATTTACCTGCCTTTCCACAAAGAGATCAAATAAGTAGTTCTTGTTTGAAAGGTACAGGCTAGTGTAAGGTTCTGTGACATCTGAGGGTATCCCTGCCATTTAAAAGGGAGAATCAGGGGATGTTTTACCCATTGAATGTCATTTTAAGGTTAGCTTGGTTGGGTCCATTTATTCAATGCACATACCTCTTTAAAAATTATTTTTATCATCATCATGCAGATATCTTTAGGTAGTTGTTCTTTATAATGCCCTAAAACATTTCACTTTAAAATGAGGAAAACCGCATTATGAAGTTTTGTAAAGGATTAAGGCCATCCACCTAACATGTCTTCAATATTGATGTAAATTCAAACATCTGAGTAGAGTGGTTTCCCGCCATTCTGTAGCCCTGCTTTCCTACCCTGCCCACCATATAGTCCAGTGGCTGACTGTATAGCAGCATTATCTCCTTGGTCCCTTATAGACTTACTTAGTAATTACTAGGTTTTGATTTTAGAGTTATTTTTTTACTTTTTTCTGCATATATGAACATATAGCAGAATAAATAGCTAAAATCAACAGGCCAAGCAATATGTGTGTGTGATTATGCTTAGTTACATTTAGACTTATGTATAGAAGTCTGTGTATAGTGCTTAGAAAGCATTGTACAAAACAAAGTGTTCTTACTATAGGCTTTATGTTACAATTTGAGGGACATAAATACCATGTCATATTCTTGGTTTGAAAGGTGTAAAACACACCACAACACGAAAGTTTCTATTTCTGAGGCCCCCAGTGACAAAATCCATATTTGTTTTTATGACTAAATAGTCAAGAAATGAATTACTGTTGCCTTATTATCACATATAGAGTCAATTCGTTCACAAGAATCACACCCTGTGCCAGAACATACCTTGTTGGGAGTGACTAAAGCCCTTCTCTCATGGGACAGACCAGTCACACTGTTTTAACTCTTTTCACAACCAAGCTCCAATCCCTACAACTGAGTCAATGATGTGGAAAACCACAAAGCCGCATTGAGTGATAAGAAGACTGAAAAAGTGGCTTAGCCATATGTTCTTTCCTTCAACTTCTTAGAAATCTTGCACAAAACTGTTTAAGATACAGTTTTGTTCTTTCCTTCAGCTTCTTAGAAATCTTGCACAAAACTGTTTAAGATACAGGCAGATAAATGTCACTTATATTTGATCTTAGCTAATAATATAAAGCATTGGCTACTGTATCTGTTACTTACACAGCGAAAAGATGCTTTGAAAACTTGGGCGGCTCGGTCAGTAAAGAGTCCGCCTGCAATGCAGGAGACCTGAGTTCAATCCCTGGGCCGGGAAGATCCCCTGGCAAAGGGAAGGGCAGCCCTCTCCACTGTTCTTGCCAGGGAAATCCCATGAACAGAGGAGCCTGGCGGGCTACAGTCCAGAATGTTGCACGAATTGGACATGACTTAGCAACTAAGCCACCACCACCATATGGAAGGAGACACTTTAAAGTTTACTAGAGCAATGTTGCAGTAAAATATTAGAAATAAATCTATATGTCCATCACTTAGGAAATGAATTTTTAAACTCTGAAATGAATGTTCATTGGACTACTCCCATATTTCATCTGAGTCAAGTATTAACCAATTATAGCCCATGGATCAAATACTGCCCACTATTTGTTTTGTAAATAAAGTTTTATTAGAACCTAGACGTACTCATTTGTTTTATTTATACTCGTATTTATCTATAGCTGCTTTCATGCTACAGTTGCAGGGTTGATTTGTCACAATATAGACTGTATGACTCTCGGTCAAAATATTCACTATCTAGCCCTTTATAGAAACAGTTTACCAACTCCTGATCTAGGTAGATTAAAACACCATCTATTGTAAAATACACCACTGAGAAAGACAAAATATATCAAGTACACCATGACCAGCCATCAAATGTCAGAGGCATCCTGATTTTAGAGACACTGAAATATTAAAAGATTCATCTTGGGATCCGTGCACTATGGTATATAGCACTTCAAATGAACAAACCACTGTTTATATCAGTATAAATAGATCTCAGATCCTCAGTATTGAGTGAAAAAAAGTCAAGTGTGGAACAATTTGCAGAATGATGTGAACAGCCTTTTATCTATATGTCTCTTAAAAAACACAATATAATGAGTTTCCATGAATGCAGATACCAGTAAGCATAATTTAAAAGAATTGAAAGGATTTGTAGAAAACTGATGATAGAGATTTTCCCTGGGAGAACAAGGGATCAGGATAATGATGTAAGAAAGAGGGGGAAAGTTATCTTTATCTATAGTGTTCAGTTTTTTTGAGGACTGATTTATTCATAAAAAGTAATTTTAAAAAACACCAAAACCTAGAAAAGCTGGAAGAAAATAATGTCAAAGTATTAATAGTGGTAAATCTTTTATAGTAGGAATATGAGTGCTTGCTTTTTTATTGTATTTCACTGTAACTTTAAAGAACTTCATGAATAACTAAGAAAAATGAGTCATATTCTTCATTTCTATCTCAATCAAAAGAGATTAATGTTGGAAGAAGTACATGTTAATCAGTTACCTGACATTACAAACTAATCCTGTTTTTCTACTGTGGCATTAAGATTAAACAATGTACAAGTTGGGGCCAAATTTCATAGTTAAAACTTTTTTTCATAATGTGGTACAGCTAATCTTTAAATACAATGCACTTGATTCCTCACCGTGAAAAACCACCAACGGGAAGAGTTAAATGTCAGGTGCATTTTGCAGAACCAAAATAGCTTGTCATGAGTCATGTTATTGATGTACTGATGTCATTTCTTTCAGCCCAACCTCACTTGTTTTGAAACGTACATTGTGATTTTACATGATTTTATGTGTTGTCACATGCAATTCAGACCCTCATGTTACTTATTAAATGCATTCATTTTTTCATTTGTCTGTAGCAGGTCTTCCTAAAATATTCTCTATAAGTGTCTTCGCAAGTTCAGAACTTTAGGCGATTAATTTTACCACCACCAGATAATTTCTTTTGATGATGGAGATCTACTCATTCACCACTGCTTTCATTTAGGTTTTTGGTTTTTTCATTCTGTTGTTATTTTAAGCATGTCTTCCTCTCCCAAGGAGTGTTTCATCAAAAATAGGTCAAGCCACCCGCCTTCGAGATTAAGCAATGAAACGTGTCCCAGAAAGTGACATCAGTAATGTGGATATGGGGCCTTGTGTCTGTATGAAGCTGCAGACTGTGAGCCTCAGGTCTCACGGCACTGGAACTAAACAAAGTGCTGTGTTTGCTCACCGTTTAAGTCTCCTTTTTCTTCTTCCAGTTCAATCTCACCATTTAGTATTGAGAGCACAAGACGCCAGAGAAGGTCTGAATCCCCAGACTCGAGAAAACGGCGTATCCACAGATGCGATTTCGAGGGCTGCAACAAAGTGTATACAAAAAGTTCTCACCTGAAGGCTCATCGAAGGACACATACAGGTAACCGCTCTGCAGGGCTTCTCACCCGAGGGTCACTGAGAGTCCAGACAGGGCCAGCTGCTTGACCTCAGAGCCCTGGGTGTGCTGGAGTATTCTGTTCTCACCCATCATGTCTGAGCAGAGTGCATTCCCTCTTAGTCGAAAAAGGCTTAAGTCTTAGTGAAATTTAGAAACAAGGAAGTATTTCTTCTGTGTCTTAAGGACTTACATTAGTATGAACCCAGTGGTCTAGACTTTTTCATAGTCAGAGTTGCCACTTTCTTCTCTTAAAGTTAGCATTTTCACCACCACTTAGATCATGTTTTTCTCCCCTTGATCTCATCCCCCAAATAACCAAACTGATAAACATCAACAACAACAAAAACATAAGATTGACATATATATAACACTGCAAGGAGTTGAAAACTTTATTTCCCCATGATTCCATTTGATTCTCACTGGTATTTTTTGTATATGGAGAGGATTTTTTATGTTCATAGTTTGCAAAGAAGGAAATTGAGATCACGAGTGACTCGCTGACTTTGTCACCATCCATTCACCCAACACATCTACCCTCCCACCGATTCACCCTCCCAGGAAAGAAGCCGGTGGTTCTTCACTTAGCTCCCTGCTCACCCCATCCATCACCCCATACATACCATGTATGTCTCTCACTTGGCATCCGCTCCCTGCCTGCCTTGCTTTCTGGATCCCATTGGGTACCACTGATAGGAGGCTCTGGGAAGAGACCAAAGACCAAATTCCACCCCAATTGCAGAACCTTTTCAAGGAAAAGTGACTGGTGACTGGAATGTGTGAATCTCAGAGAAGAGGGAAATTCATTCATAGGCATTCCTGATAGCAACATACCAGAGATCAAGACAACTCAGTTCAGTAACTATCCTGGACAGGACTCTGCCTCCAGCACCCACCTCTGGGAGCTTCATGTGTAACAGACCCCATGGGGCCATGTAAATACTGCTCCCATCTCAGATACATTAAGGTAACCACACTGTGTGAACTGTTTCCCAGCTGAGGTAGCAAATTCATTTAAATTGGCATTCTTTGCCATATATTGAGTCATGTTATTATAGCAGATTGTTTGAAGGTTTCTTTACAGAGACTTTCATGATTTTGATCTTTGAGGTGGGGCATCTTTGCGTGTGTGATGACGTTATAGCACAAGATGCTGCTTGAATTCAGAAAAGCTTTATAGAGTCTGCAGTTTAGTTTTGCTCATCTACCATGTTAATCCTTTTGCTATTTCTAAGGTAATTCAGCACAGAGTGCAAACTGCCATCTTTCTTCCCTGTTTCCCAGCCCTTCTTCCTTTTCTTCTTAATTCCACATCCTTCCCTCTTCCCTGATCCTGAGCTCTCCCAGGAGACGTTTTCATCTATTTCTTAGACTCTCATTTTGTTGTTGTTTTGTTGGCTACACTGCACGATATGTGAGATCTTAGTTCCCTGACCAGGTATCAAACCTGTGCCCCCTGCAGTGAAAGCACAGTCTCACCCCTGAACCACCAGGGAAGTTATCAGGCACTATTTTTTAATCCATTTTCTTTCTTGTTTTTGGATCTGAAAAATTAAGCCATTTAGTATTTAAGTTAGGTTTTTATTGGGGTACAGTTGATTTACAGTGTGTTAGTTTCAGATGTGCAAAGTGATTCACTTATACATACACACATATCTATTTTTTCTAGATTCTTTTCCCTTATAGGTTATTATAAAATATTGAGTAGAACTCCCTTGCTATACAGTAGGTCCTGGCTGCTTATCTATTTTATATATGGCAGTGTGTATTCAGTTTACTTATGAAGGCCAAGAATGAGTACAGAGACATAAAAGTTGAATAAACATACTATCAGTAGATAGTGAACACAAATCACAGGAGTATGATCAGGTTGTATTACTGACTTTTTATGGGAGCATTTCAGTAATAAGAAAAAAGAAAGAATGACCTTTTGTCAGTGAATCCTCATATATTTTGAGTTATTCCTATTTTCCTTGAACTTTCTGAAATAACCATTAGCCCCATTTTCACCAGACAGCCTCTATTTCAATTATCCACCAATGAATAGTGAGAGAGAAGAAGGGGTTTAATGAGATACTATGAAAGGATTTTAACGTTATAGCATTATAAGATTGACTCGAAGGTTTTAATATATATTGTGAAAGTGGGGGAAATGTGATGTATACATTGTAATTCAAAGCAATATAAACCTCTAGTGCTGAAGCAGAATTAATCAGCGTGACTTATTAATAAGATGAAATCATTGACTCCTAGGGTCCAAATGGACCTTCGAAGTCATGGAGTTTAGTTCATTTCCTCATTAGAGGAATCCCTTGGGTGTCGTCTCTCACGGACAACCAGTCTCTACTATGCAGTTTTCTGCACACTTTACGGATCTTTTCTTTCATTTGATCCGCACAACACCTGGTATCATTGTCTCCTTGGTAACGAGAGTGGCTCCCAGTCGAGTATTATTTCCTACCTCTCCTTAAATTCGTCGAGTAACAGAGAGCTCTTGCTTCTGCAAGACAAGTCGGGTGATGTTTCTGAGGGCCGAGTCCTTGTCTCTGGCAGCCCTGAATTGTCTCCCGCGGCTTCATTTGGCTACTTTATAGCTCCAGCCGTCACACTGCAGTTTTCACTTCGGGCACTGGTGCTCCTGTCAACCCTGCCATAACCACGGGCATCTTCATTTCTCCAAAGCAGACACCCTCAATTCTCTCAGCCACTTTTTTCTAAGTATGCCCTGACACATCACTGTATCTTCTAAAGTTTGCACCCCCCTAGTTGACGTAAGAGCTATTGTTAATGGGCATCTCTTAATAGACGCGAAGGTAGAGTTAAGTCTTTTAGCAGTTGTCTTTCTCTGTTAGGTCATCTATATCAAAAACTGCTGAAAACTAGATCTTTCCCTCCCTTGTAACAATAACATTTGTTTTAAACCAAAGAATGCAGTGTTGTATTTGTCGTTGAACCTGTCAAATGATGATGGCTGCCTTGAGAGTGTGGGTTTCCCCTCACTGAGGTGTTTGCCCCAGGCTGGATAATCTCTTGTGGGAGGTACAGGACAGTTATTGCTATGGGAGCTGCACATACCCTTTCAAACCTTAGAAATACTTATACTGTATATACTATATCCATTTGATTGATGTGAGCTCATTATTCTAATAAATTGAAAAGACTTTGGAGCCCCTTCGTGCCCACTTTGCTTTTAGTACTTTAGGTTTCTTCTTCAGCTTCTCCATTTTTTTCAAGTACTGAATAGAACAGGTTCAGGGAAAAGGACTCAGATGTGGTCCTGGAGACTTCCATCCAAGTGGATCTCAATTCATTAACTTACAGCTAAGAATTTACCTACTTGTCCCACCTCCGATCTATATTCCTTGATCTCAAAGCTCCACCCAAAAGTCCTTGTGAAATTTCTGCTCCAAACCCAGATATGCCACATTCATCCATCCACTTAGCAGAAAAATACTTACTCTGGGCAAGGCAGATGCTCCTAAACCACCAGTCAAATAGCAGTACTTTTAAAAAGAAAGAATGAAATTTGGTTGATTTGCTGCCACCGGTTCAAAGTGAGCCCATACTGGTTTTTTATTTATAATTACGTGCAAGATTTCATAACTTCGTGCTCAAAATGAAATGAACACTAGTTCTATAGGGATTCAGGTTGGCTTGCTTTGCTTTTAATAAATATCTTCTCAGCCTTACCTTTGCTTCAGGCATATTGAGTAAGTTATTTGTGTGTGACCAGTAATAATGAATGTGAAGTATGGGATTATAACAGATGACTTATGAGGACTACACACGCAATGGGGAGTGAACAAGGGACAAGAAGACACTTTCTTTGAGAAAGTCACGTTAATTCTGCCTTTAACTTGATCTTTTGTGCTTTCTTAGTAAATGATCAGTCATCTGTTTAGGACGTAGATAATAAAGTAGATTAAACATATCTATAGGAGTGTGAGAGAGGTTCATTTTCTACATATTAATAAAGAATTTAAAATAAAAAATGCTGGAATAGCCTTCTTAAACTGAAAAATAACTTAGTCTGATGAATGTGCATTTTAGATAATAACATAAAAGTTTGGCCAAATATTTTTAAATGCCTACTAACACTTCCCTTTGGCAGATTGTTTAAAGCATATTCAATAGAAGGAAAAAATATATCTCGACCATCACATTTACCCTACCGTCAGCAAATATAATAATTATTCCTATTCACTAGTCTGAATTGTATGTCTCCTCTGCGTGAAGCTGTGTACAGTGTATTTAAATGAATTGCACTGGGTTGAAATTTAAAGGTCATTTAAATCTGTATGATACATAGCTATTATGTACAATGAATTTCTCTGATTTTAAGAATTTTACTGCTTATTAAATGATCTAAATATGAATTTTAGAAGGTAATGGTTTTACAAATTTGGTATTACCATTTATAATTCTCTTTATTTTCCAAAAATGTGTGCCATCGTGTTTTCTATAAATAAAATGCAGTACAAGGAAGGAACACTCAGGCACCAGTGATTCTTATAGCCACTAGATGGCGCACAGCAACCAGATGTTGGGGCTAGCTTAAGAGGGTCCAGGAGTCAGCTGGAACCCTCTAGTGGTACATTTAAAATGGTGTGATTGTCCGTGTTCTGCAGAATACTATTATTTAATGATGAACAAGGAAATGGCAAGATAAAGATTTAAAACTAGGGTGTTTTTTTAAATAAGCATTAATAATTTCAACATGTAAGAATATTTAGTTTCAAATGAATCTTAATTTGGAAATTTCAACTTGATATCCTCTTCTCTAATAAACTTTTGAGGCTCATTTAGCCAATCTTGCCTCATAATTATTTGAATTCATATGAACACTCTACACCTAAATTTTAAAAAGTAGTGAACACAAGGCAGTCGCATTTCTTATCTATCTGATTGTAGCAAAAGTAATTTGTATCTAAATTTTACACGTCAAGGAAGGTAACTCATATGGATACTTTAAAAATAGTAACCAA